TAAATTATATATATATATATATATATTTATATATCAAAAAGAACAAAAGAAAATCAGAACTTCAGTCATATTTTTAACCACAAGTGAAAGAGAGAGAGCAGCTGTGGTCCATTTAAATCCACAGGTCGGCAAACATTGATGATTCTCAAGTCCTTTTGCTGTTAATGTGTTCTTGTTATTGAGACAGTATAGACAATAAGACAGTACTGGGTGCCGAGGACTTTTGTTAATCTGGTGGATACAGCGATGGATATGTATATATTTTTTTAGAGTATCATTTTGAAAGGTAACAATTCTGCCATCACGACACTGATGGCCTAGCAGTAAGGTCGTGCCTGCATGTACGAAGGCTGGAGTCCTCTAAGCAGGCTGCACCGATTCAAGTCCCCTTTCCTGCATGTCACTCCCCACCTTCTATTTTCCCGATTTCTTCTTTATCATCTGTCCTATCGAATAAAGGCAAAAAAGCCCCAAAAAAAAATCTGCCATGGAGATAACCTGAGTAGAGGAGCACATCGAGGCTGCTGTCTCGTGTTATTCCCTCTGTACCGGCCGGCCTGTGAAAACACGTTTCATCTTCTGCATGCATGTTTGCAGGACTGTGGGCATCGTGACCCGAGAAGAAATAAATGTGTAGCTAGGTAACAAGCAGGAGGAATACTGGTGTTTAAACATTCAAATCTTTTCTTTGATTATCTGTTGGTGGTGTCTTTTTCTCCTCCTGATCATGTCTCATGTTTATAACCAACAACATCAACTATCTGAAACGTATTCATAACCATAATCATGAACTGTATCAATGTTCTGTGTAGGAGACCTTCATGCAGATTTGGAGAATAACCCTAACCCTGTGGGCAGCCGTGTGAATCCGTTTAGTTTGAGTGCTATTTCTTATTTCCATCTTTTAAAGAGAAAGCTGAGAGCATAGATCACCTCAAGTAGTGATGTTGGATCCTGAACCAAGTACAACAGGCTTGGTGTTGCCCTTCATGGCATCTGACGGGTTGCAAAACAACACAGCTGATTGGAGCAACAGAGATAGAACAGTAACAGAGATAGAAAATTCAGGGAAAAAACATTCTGTATGTATATGAAAAAACAACAAACATGGATGATACTATAGGCAGTTCACCTCGACTTTGAAAGTTCTTGTAAGCCGATTTAGAAAATAACAGACTTCACAATCAACGATTTTTTAACCATTTAGTCCCAGAAACAGAGGCATAGCTGCTAAACCTCTCTCATGAGACGTCACTACAGCTGGAGACAAAGGAATGCCTAAAACTATGGGTGACGGCTGCTACGGCAACCTGATGGTTTACAGCCTCAGCAAAGGCCAGAGAGTCAAAAACCCCTCCAGTTAATCAATGACTGCCTTTCTGCGTGCCGTCAAACACTGACGCACATACCAGAGGAAGATATGAGACTTAAGGAGTACACAGAGGAGGAGGACGGGGTTAGGGGGGAGGAGGGGAGGAGGGGAGGTCCGAGCCCTGCGTTCCCATCATGTGGGAAAAACAGTCTGAACAAATTAAAGGTCAGAAAAAATGATTTGGAAGCAGCGATCATATGAGATGCCACGTTGGCAGATATGATGGAGACAGAGGTTTCTCTTGCTCATGCTTCAGAGATTATGATGTGCAGATCATCTCATTCCAATGTGGCTCACATATCCAGTAAAAAAAAAAAAAGATGGCGTCATTTGAAACAACTTTACAAACTGTTAGCATGATAAAATGTGTAAAATAAAAATATGCATCCTAAAAACTTTTGTGGGGGCAACAATTGACAATTGAATATGTTGTAAGACAGCAAAATGATCTGTGATTTATACTGACGAGACTTGTGTTTCAGATTGCTTGCTTATTTGTCAATGAAACAGATATACTGTATATATTATTATTATTATACTCAGACTATAGTTTTTGTACCAGGCTGTAAACATGTTATTTTCTGCTGTAAAAACAGGGATTTTTAAATAGGGGGCATCCGGGGCTCTTGGATCCAGCCTCTAGCGGACCCTCAACGGATTTAAGGATTTTGCACTTTCACGCTGGCTTCATTTTTCAACATCGGAGGTTGCCGCTTGGTAAAAACCATAAACTGCAAATATTGGTAAAAACACACAATGTGTAAAAAAATCTGCAGACTGTCCCTTTAATACACTCAGGTTTCCCTAAAAAAAAACAGCATCATCGTCCCTCAGACCCTGAGCAGCGTCCTGCACTGTCAGCTGCTGGACGCTCACCACAGCAACGTGTCGGAGGCTGGTCACTGCTTGTCCGAACAGATGTTCCCCCCTCCCCTCCCCTCCTTCCCTCTCTCTCTCTCCCCCCCCCTCCTCCTTTTGTAAGAACAACTGAAGCCACTCTCCTGCTGTTGAACATGCTCCCAGAGGCAGATGGCTGCAGGCCTGCGGAGTAATAAATATTAAACCAAACTGTGTGATTAAATTAGAAGTGAACTGTTGCTCTTTTTAGCCCTTTACATGTGACATCGAATTGTTTATTTCTAGTCCCTTTGGGTCCTTGTTGATTTTTTATTCAATTCTGCTGATTTCAGTCTAATTTAACTATTTTGAATAAGAAGAATAAGAAGAGTTGCATTGTGGGATTATGGTGCTGGTCCATTTTGTTCCTCTTGTGGTATTTAATGGTCATAGCAGACATGTAACACACGACAAAATCAGGCGTGCTTATGAGACAAATATTTGTTATTGAGATAACGATATGAGGTGTGATAAATAAAAAACAATGAAGAGTGCATGTGACGCCCACACTACAAAAAAAGAGAGTTTGAAAATGTGAGAGAGCCAACACGATGACAAATATGAGAAGATGTAACATTTTTGTTCCTTTAATGTATAGGCAGCGAAGATATAACCAACACAGCACACCACCCATTCACCAACAACCAGTCCGGACTCTAAAAACTGAACATTTTGCAAAATATTCTCACAGTCCATATCAACTTCAGAGTAAACAAACAGACGATGGGCAGGAAGAATTTCTGGTAGTTTTCAGATACTTGTTACTGAAAATTCACAGAGAAAAGAGTAAAACTCTGACATTGGCTGTACATGTTTGAGCGTCAGCTGGAGGTGAGTAAAACTGTATATGTTGTCGTGCTTTCCTCTTCAGTTAGCGCTCTTTCCAACTGGTTATTACTTGTTAACGTCACAATCCACAGAGTGAGCGCTCGGCTGTCTTACAACATGAGATCAGAGAGTAAATATCAAATGTGTTTATTATTTCAAATTTTAAATTGGGGTCGGCCCCGATGTCCTTCTGAGAAGATCTTATCACTCTTAACCCCACTGGCCAGATGAGCTTTAGAACCATTACAAAAATTGGGACTTTGATTAGGATTATCAGAAAGAAGGAATCAAGCCCAAAAACCACCAAAAAAAACAAACAAACAGAAATCAGACACAGAACAAAGTCTGTGGAAGTGAACACAATCCCGATCTGTATTATTTAACCACCATCTCATCTGAACGCCCTGCCTTGACCTCGGTGCAGTCAGAGGATGTTCGGTCAAAGACTGTGTCAACAACAACGTTGAGAAAAGACACACACACACACACACACACACACACACACACACACACACACACACACACACACACACACACACACACACACACACACACACACACACACACACACACACACACACACACACACACACACACACACACACACACACACACACAAGCTGCTGCCAGCTTCTTTCCTCCGTCCCTGAGCTGACACTTCCCCCCCGTCGCCCCTCACATGTCTGACCTGTTGCTCCGGGCCCTCTGGGAATCCACCTCACATCCACAGCAGCCCTGATGACTGTTTGTAGGGGGGCTGCACACATCCTCTCTTTACAAAGAGGTCAACTCAATGTGTCAAAGATGACAGATAGAGGTGATGGGAGGAGGAAAGAAAAAAAAATGACCACACTTGTGAAGTAATTTGCTTTGAAATAAAAAGAAGAGGGTCTTGGTTTTGCAATGCCCGCTATGGTGGATATTTTTTTGTACAGGCTATGGAGGCCTGTAAATAAGCATGAGCTCTATTCTATTCCAGTTAGCAGCCCCGGTTAGGTCACATTGGCATCCAGGAATAGCAGTGTAACAGTAGACAGACACAGCAGGGGTCTGGTCATGTCGTCCTGGATGAGGGGGTATCTGCAGATCTGGCAGACTTGTATGTTTGTAGTCTATAAACAGAACTCACATGGACGCAGAGCAAAGTTTGGACTTAGAGCAAAGGGGACTGAGTGGCTACTGGAGACAGCAACGTTAGAGCAGGTGTTAATGTTGCAACTGCGCAGCGACACACCAAACTCAATTCAAAACTCAAGCAGTTACAAACATTTTGAATATAGGTAATATACGCTGGGGCTCAATGTTACTTAAACAACAGCCTTATCAATAAAAGCATTGCGAAAAATTCGGCGTACAAAATAACCAAATCCAGCCTGACATGTAAAGAAAATCAGAACTTCAGTGATTTAACACAGGCAGCATCGCCTTCCAGCGCAGGGTTATTTGGACGTCAAGTTGCGCAACAAAAGTTGACTTTATTAAAAGCTTGTCAAAGAGATGCTTAATAAATGTATGCCGAATTAACTGTAACATCATGTTGATTCATGGAAGGTCGAGAATAATATTCTAGTACATGTAATTTACAAATTTTAAGGTTTGATGTTTTATTTTTCCGATTCTCAGATGGGGTTTGGTTTATGTGAGCTTTCTGACCCAAATGAGTTGGAAAAGGTTAAACGAAACGCAAATCAAGTGTATGTTTTTTCATATTAGCAACTATTGCCCGAACCATTGTTGCTTTAGTCACATAATACAGAAGAAGAAGCACCTGGGTGTGTTACTGTTTCGTTTTCAAACAGTAGGAACTTTTATGACAAGCACCACCGGCCAACACTTTTAACAATCCACAACCAGCGACTTCATTTTTTTTTTTTTATTTAAAGAAAAGCTCAAAATAACTTACTTTAAATCCAATGAATGAAACTCCTCTCCCCCTCCTCCGTTGTTTTCATCGCCTCTGCTGCTCCTTTAAATAAAACCACGTGTTTTCTCTCTTTCTCAGTTATTGAGGAACAACAGGAGCGTTTATGGCTGTTTTTGTCCCGTCGCGCTTTTGTTATGATAATCCTTAAAAAGCCCAGAGACTCTAATAGGCTATAAGCTGCAAGATATTTGAATGTTCACAATGGAAAGCTTGTCCACTTGTTAGTGCTATAACACGGCTTCATCCACCGGACCGACGCGTCGCTTGGTATATCCCGGTTCATTCAAACCAGTGCGGGAGTTTACAGTCATTGTTGTCCATTGTTGTCTCTCCGTGCCACCACCAACACCCCCGCTATCCACGCAGGAAAGACGCTATCTCATACTGCTGGAGGAAAACAGCTGGCTCACACAGTCAGAGAGAGAGAGAGAGAGAGAGAGGGAGGGCTGACAAGGAGTGGGAGAGGAGGAGGAGGAGGAGGAGGAAGAAGAGGGGGTGGACAAGACTGGGAGATCCTCAGTCAGAGCAAGAGAGAGAGGGAGAGAGAAAGACCCTAGTAGAGGAATTTAACTGATAAATAACATTGGAGTTATTGATTATGTCAATGTGAAACTGTGATCTGAATCAAGTCAAGACAGTTTCAGCAACATCAGGGGCGTGTCAAGACCTGGGGTGGCCCCGGGGCTCTGACTTATCTAGGGGTGGTATAAAACGTTTGTGAGCATAAACATACAAATAGTTAGCTCATAATTTCTTAACTTTAATATGTGACACAGTAGAGTATCAACATATACGTCTGCCTGGCTTTATTCTTTAGGTGCTTAAAAAGAAGAATACTGTAGGCAACTTCAAAAATTGGCTGTCAAAAAAATAAATACAAATTTTAGTACAGAATAATGCCAATGAACTTTTGTTTTGCTGATTTTTGTGTGTGTACTTGTTCAGTACTTTGCTTGCATTTTGTCATGGTCGCATTCCTCTATGTGCACCTGTCTTGTGAAAAAGACGTGTAGAGCATTTTTCTTAAAGTAATAACCAATAAAATGATGCTACATTTAAGTGCATAGAAACTAACAGCCTGTTACACCACAGCCAAAGTAGTTGATTTTAACCGATGTTAAAAAGTCCAGTCTCTGACCATGCAAAAAGCCAATCAGTGTAAAGGATTTCGGGGTGGCAGCTAGGATAGCCCATTAGATTTCAAGGGAGGCCTGTATCACCCCTGAGTCAAGACATTTTGCAAAGGAAATGCTATTCACCTTGTGCACACAAACTTCATGCCACCCTAGTCGAAAAAAGTCTGAACACGCCCCTGAAGCACAACACCTACTTGGTAAAATTAAGAAAACACATTGTGTTGTTCAAAATGACACAAGTGGAGTTACCCTCATCAATGCTGTGTGTAGAAAATATACCTTACACTCTATCTACACATCCTGTCATCAGTGATTTCTCCACTCACAGTGTAAAGTACTTTAGAAGTTTATCCAGAAACAGACTCTTCTTAGTGTCTTCCTCAGTTAACGCAGAGATTAATATCCATGCCCCCTTTTCCCCTTGTGTTCCCTCTGATTGGCTGAATCAAGCAGACAAACCTTTATCCCTCTATAACAGGAGCTGAACAAAACTGGCTTAGTTTCTACATGCCCTTTTGATTGTCTGGATTTCCCTCTACTGACTGTTCTGATTTAAAATCCAGGAGGATCACTTCAAAACCGCTTGTTGAGCACTTTTGCAATTTGTGACAATGCTGACTTGTTGCTGCTTGCTTTTCCATTACTGCATTTCTCTGCAGAGTAAAAACACTCTAGCCTCTGGTCTTAGCTTCACTGCTGTGTGATGCATTCTCCGGACACTACAATAGTCATCTTGTAGGAAACATTTACTTGAGGT